CTTCCCATTCCAGATGAACTTTGCAGTTGTCCAGCAGGCCAGGACTGCTTTGGGCGAGTGGACAAGTGTTAAGAAATAGCTCTTTCTGCAGCAGTAGGCATGGTCCCATGTGAGCTGGGGGCGAGGGTGGATGGGTCCAATTGAACCGGAAAGATTTGCCTGATTGCCTCTCTGCAGTACTTAGAACTGTGTCTAAGTCAGAGCGACAACTCCACTTGGTTGTGCTGGCTGCACAGCAGGTTCGATTCCGTTTGCTGTGGCGTGAGCTTTCTTCCCAGCCCAGTCTCAAAGCCAGTTCACTCTTCCTCTGTCTGGTTTGTTGGAAAGAGGGCGAGGGTGCTGGGTGAGTTAGGAACGTGCCGAGACCCTCTTCCCACCATGAACGGCTTGCCTGCCGGCACACAATCTGAAGTCTTGTCCGTTGTCTAAATCCAACCCTTTGGGTGCACCTGTCAGAGCCTCACTGAGCTGCAGCTTGTATCATTGGCAGGAGACCTCACGAGAATTGAATCTAATGTTCACCCAAAGGCAGGTTCCCTGAAGAGCAGGGCCTTTCCCCTTGGAATCTGGGATGGGTCCTTTGGCCGCACAGAAGTTGGCCTCTTTCTGCCACACGGATCAAGGCTACACGAGGGACTCCAGTCGCCCAGCGCCTTGGCAAACAGGATTTGTTCATGAAGGCATAAGGAGCTCAGGTAGTTCTGGGTTGCCGAATGGACTGGAAGCAGGAGCTTGGCCTTGCTGTACTCTCGTCGTCGCCTCTGCATCCCCCAGTCGTCGTGGGAGCTTGTGGCGTTTCCGTGCAGATGCATCCGTCATGCAGTCATCCAGCCTTGTTCTACAAAGAATGTGGGAGTCTGGTTTAGGAGCGGGTGGGAAATGCTTTTTGTTCATTTCTTGACAAGAATATTGCAAAATTTGCAGATCTCTTCATAAACAAGAGGGAAAGAACACCCGATTGTCGGAGAACACAGATTCATACCCCCATCCAGCCAGGCTGAAGGCATTGAATATTTCACTCTTAAAAGTCTCGGGTTTGAATTGCAGTGTATTAACCCAGTTTGCCAGGGCTGCCACCTGCCCATTTCCCTCTCCTTTTTCCTTTAGGCTCCTCCACTTTAACATCTGTATGGCTGGTAGATGCATGAGGGTATTCTCCATGCTGTGAATGGCCATGCCTGTGGGGTTTGGGTGTGCGTTTCATCAGCAGCAGCTAACGAAATTCACAGTGTCCAGGACAGAACGAACGTGAGGCTTTTCTTTGTTGGGAAGACAGAGCCCCAGCCAGGGTGGGGCCTCCCGGGGCAGGCTTCGGAGCTGTTGGATGCTGCTGGGGCCGTGAGCTGCAGGGTCTGCCCACGGACACCACGTGCTGCCTAGAGAAGAGCTAGATCAGACCTCGCAGACACCAAGAATATTCTCGTGGCATGCCAGGCACACTTGATAAACCTTGATAAAGCCCTTGGGGATTTTGTCGTTTTTCTGGACAAGGTCATTTGCTACCATGCCTCTTCCCGCGTTCAATAGAATCGCCCTTGCAGTGACCAGATTTTGTGGGCGGGCAGATCAGGACGGACTGTCGCTTTCATGCCGTCCTTGAAAGCTCACAGGTGCTGGGAGCCAAACACTTCATCAGGTGGACCTTTGAGCATGCTTGCTTACGCGGCTACCACAGAGCCTTCCTGTAAAGCCTTGTGTGGCTTAACTGTTGGCATGAACAAAGGCAGGCACAAATAGAGCCCGGGGTTCAGGGAGGACATAGCGACCTACCTTTGCGCAGTCTCATCCCAGCCCTTGGGTGAGCCTTTGGGATGTGGCGGCTTTATTGGGAGTTCGTAATGCTGGCGGGAGAGAAGCCTGTGAATTGTCGACCGTTGGCTCAGCTGTCCTGTAGCGCAGTGTAGTGGGGAAGGCCTGAGCCAGGATCCGCTGTTGGGTGAAGGAGTGTGAGGCGAGGGTGGAGGTACAGCTAAGTGTGACGGTCCTCCTCGTTCGTTGCAGCAGTGCCACAGCTTCAGGAAGCTCCCACGTTTAACGGTGTGAGATACCACTTGTGCCAGTAACTTCTTGGCAGTGGCGTCATGTTCAAAGGACTCTAACTTGTTCGTGTTCCATGTTGCTCACATGAAACCGTCTGTGTCTATACTAGTCCAGTGGGTTTAAAAGACCTCCCTCTCCCGCTGGAACCCTGGAAGATAAGGCCGTGGTGGGCGCCTCCGGCTCTCAACTCTTGTCCCCGCAAGATTAAAATTCCTGGCAAGGTGCCAGGACGGCCGTAGCTTTTGGTGGGCTTTCTGGGCCCTGTCACTGCTCTGCTGCATAACCATCGGGGGATCTTTTTGTGCAGCAGAAGGAAACGTAGGGAAACTTCCTCCAGTGAGACGTGTGCACTCGCCTTTTGGAGGAGCAGGGCCTGTTCCGAGCTCCTGGCTCATGGCTGGCACAGCCCAGCTGTAGGCTAGCCTTCCGCAAGCGAGTGCTTCCAGAGGTTGAGGACCTGACTCCCATCAGAGACAGGAGGTGCTCAGTGCCCCTGCAAGGCACCGGCTTGAGAAAGGCTCTCCCATTGACCCAGCAGTGACACGCAGGGGTCCCAGCCCTGGCGTGCACGGGAAGACAGTCACCTCTGTGAATTGTGGAAGCTGTCCCCCGGCAGGATCATGCGGGGCAGGACGGCTCTGGTACCAGAGGCATGAAGCCATGCAGACCCCTTCCATGTCCTCTACCATGGAGTAGACCGTCTGCCAGGGAGTTCTGTGGAGCAAACTTCTTGGAAGTCTCTGGGTACCGTGCAGGAGGAATGGGCGTTCCTGGGGGGCTGCCTTAATGGACTGGTCTCTCTGTTGCCTTGCCTGCGGTCCTCCGGCTTCCCTGCCTGATATTTGCATCACGAGCAGGTCCCCCCCGGGTCAGAAGCAGCAGTTTGGTGTCACCTGTAGTGGGGAGACTTTTGGGCACCCGTTGTACCTTCCGTGACACGAGAGACACCGGGTTGCACGTGAGAACATTTTGCCTGACTGGGAATTGTGTGGGGAGGATGGGCTGCTCACTTCTGGGTGGAATTTTGTGGCCGAGATAGCGAAACGACTGGAGGAGCGTTGTGTCTTGCATCCTTCCATGCTGTGACCATCACCATTCACTGTCCTCTGTTTTTAATGGCAATATTAGTTTCAGCTTGTGTTCTTTCTCTTTGCCCTCCTGTCTTGGCGAAGGGTGAAATGGGCATGATCCCAGGTTGTAGTAGTTTGTAACGATGACCTTGGAGTGATAAGAGAGCAATTACCAATGTAGAATTATGCTGTATGTAATGTATATATGGAGAGAGAATGTATTTTGTTCATTTTTTTCTTAATAAAAATGGTATACCAGTCTTGTATTCTTGTTATGAGGATTATTTGGAACCACTTCCCAGTAGAATGCTGGGTGTACTATCCAGTATTAATCTAACTTAAGTCACATTCATGTCAGTGGCTATACTTTAGGTAGACCTAATACAGGATACAAGCCTATGAGATACACGAATATTATTTTGAATACAAATGTAAGGCTATACTGTGCCATCTTGAATCAAGCATTTCAATCCATCTAGTAGCCATATGAAACTCTTAATACTTGGGCCACCTAATGAGAAGGACGGACTCCCTGGAAAAGACCCTGATGCTGGGAACGATTGATGGCAAAAGAAGAAGGGGACGACAGAGGATGAGGTGGCTGGATGGGGACACTGGGGCAGTGGGTGGGGTTTGGGTGGACTTCGAGGGATGGTGGACAGGAGGGCCTGGAGGCATGTTGTCCATGGGGTCGTGACTAGACAAAAACCATACAGCCTGTGGAAGCCATATAGCTTCAGAGTCTGGCTTCCACATAGGGGTGTGGGAGTAAACTGATGGATTCAAGTAAGACTGGCTGTCTATCAGACCCGCAGATTCTGCCATGGGCTACATTTTCCCAAGTCATGGATTCTGTGTCCAGTTTCCCATAGCAGTGGCCAACCAGATGGTTCCTCCCACAACACAAGAGAGAGAGCCCGGCCTTTTGGTGTCTAGCGTCTGTTAACCTGAGCTGCCCTGCCTCTGGACAAGAATGCTGCATTTGGCTGTCGTGGCAAAGAACTGTTGATTAGTGCAGAAGAGACGACCCCGTTAAAGCCCCTGGACCGCGGGCTTTGCCACGCCTAGCAGCCACCTGCGTAAGTTTAGGATGTGAAGATGTGCTGCTGTATCCTAAATCCACTGCCACAATTGGGTGATCCCAAATTCTAGCATTTTTGGGGCGGCGGGGGGGGGGGGGGATTTCCCTAGCTTCCTTCATTCCATACATAACTTTTAAAGCCTTTCATCTCGCCCCCCCCCACTTGGTTTATTTCCACAAGTGCCAAAACAAAACCAAGCCATCCAGCATTTCCAGACAAGCCCATGAAAGGAGAGACTGAGAAGAAATTTTATGGGAGGATCCACAGTCCAGCGTTCAATGCATACCTATTTTGACAGAGAAAAGTCTGGTGCAGTTCTTCCTGTCTCCAAGGACCAGGTAGCAGGTGATGACTAATGACCTTCTCTGCCTGAAACCTGGTAGAGACTGCTACTTGAAGTAGATTATATGGACACATGGTTTGGCCTGCAGCTCTATGTTGTCAGAGATCCCCCCCCCCCCGGTGAATTGCCTGGCTGCCTTCCTAAACTGGACATCATCCTGTGTGCAGCACCACGATCTTAGAGCTGAAACTACATTTCCCTTCTCGCAAAAACAATTTACTGGAAATACTTGCGTCCTACTTTTCTCCTGGGATGGCAGAAAATAAGCAAAAATTAATGCATGGAACAATCTTTGGCTCCAGGCCAGAGGAGAGATGCTCCTTGGGGATCGTGTGTGGATACAGACTACGTTTGGAAAGCAACTCTCTTAAGCAAACCATGAACATGAGCTAAATCGGAAACAATTTTTTAAAAACCATGTCAGAACATACCTCTACCTTTTGTTATCATAGTAAAAGAAAACAATTCACAAAAGATCTTTTTATTGACAGAAATAAGTAGTATCTTCAAAATATACTTTGTAGGAAAATGCAGCTATCTTTACAATCCAGTTCCTTGTTAAATTTCCAGTGTATTTTAGACTCCTGTTTCAGCGCAAGCCGTGTGGCTGCAGATGCTGTACAGTGTTAAGAATATAATGTTCAAACTTCTGCAACCAGAATGCACTACGCACCTACCACCCAGTTCTGGATATGAATTTCATGCACCTGCTCCAGAGACCAGCAGGGTCCAACAAGTGATACCATTCTGGCTGCGGGAAATGCCAATCCAAAACTCCGAGGCCTCCAAGATCACAACAGGAGCCAACATCAGCTTTACCTGCTTTTGCTGTGATTGTGATTAGAAATGATACAAGGGTTCTGGAGGCCTTCGTCCCCTAGGAAGTGCAGTGGAAGTAGTACATTGCGACAGCGGTAAGACGTATTTTGCAGGCGAATAGATGAGCTGACAGTGTTCTGCAGCAGGTCTCTTGGGGGCGTCATGCTGGATGAGTAAGAAGTGCAATCCTGGACATGTTTACAGAAAAAGTCTTGCAACCCTTGGCAATCCCCAGCATCCTTAGCATTTTCCATGTAAGCTTGTTATTTGTTCTTCGGCCTAACCAGAAGCTGACACCTTTTATGTCCCTGAAAACTGTTTTGGAACCCTTGTTATAGTCCTGTTTTCGTTTCTAACTGTTCCCACAGTTAAGCAAACTGCCTTCTTCATGCTGCTGAAGGTCTCTATCAGTTTGCAGGATGTTGCTCTGAGAAAATAGGCGGAGGAGAGCAAGCAAAATAACTACGGACCTGATTGAACGGTTTTGCACTGGAGTTTTCCTGGGTTGCACCTTGCTCATTCCGGTCTTCTAATCTGTTCACTGAGTCATGGAGGAAGAACTGCCTCTGTGTGACCAAGTTAGAGGGGCTACTGAATGTTGAAGCCCCCTCAAATTATATTTCCAATTGGGATGTTAACATTGGGAAAACTATTTGCGATATTGGTGCCTTCATACTCCACCCTCAGATCCCCTACTCTCTAAAAAAAAAAAATATGTGCATTTTCCACTGTTTTACTAAGTTGCTATGATACTAAAAGGAAGTTTTTAAGGCCAGCCTTGTTCTGTAAGTAGGGCATATCCAGAGATGCTCGCACAAGTGGAAGAGGCCTGTACTTTTCTGTCCCACACAGGAGCTTGCAGACGCCTGTCAGAATCCAAATGCTGGGACTAGCTAGTTACTCCTGTGGGCCAGCAGCTAAGTTAAGAACAATGCCCTTCTTTTCAAGTTAAGCAAGGTCTGAATAGCTGGCAACTCTCTCTGCCCATTGATTCACTCCTGGAGGAGGTGAAAACAGGCAATGTTCACTCTCAGTGGAATCACAGAAACTTAATAAAGCAGGTATCCTGACTATACCTTTAAACATGTAATCCTAGGCCAGGTCAGGCAGAAAAAATGGCCCACAACTCTCAGAGCAAGTGGCTGGGACCATGTTGGAAATTGTGGCCCTTTCTTGTCTGGATTTGCCTAGGATTGCATCCTAAGCGAACGTTTTCCTCTCCTGACCCCTAACATGCTGCCTTTTTGTAACTTCTTGCCTGTGGAAGAGAACCTGAAAATTTACGCATTGTGATCTTTGAGTCAGCCTAACGACGACGTGATACTGGACAGATTGTGGGTTCTTTCCATTGGGAAGTTGTGCCCGCTAAGCAGGAATCGGCCTTCTTTCCCATCCACCGGTTCCAGTCCTGCCCTCAGCATCTACAGGGATCCACTCCACGCGAAGACCAGTGGCGTGTCTCCACTCACTCTTCCCCAGCGCTCTTTCCACCACCCCTTGCAGGATGTGGTTCCCAGGACCTTCACCACCCTGGCCATTTTCCTAGGGACTCATTCTTGTCTCCTCCTTCAAATGGACACCCCCCCCCCCCGCCTCCAACTCCCAATTATGAGCAGCAACTGAGGCGCTGGGGCAGCCCCGGCTGGGAGAGCACCAGATTTGGCTGTGGAAGAGGGCTGGGGCCCGGTGCGTTTGCTGGAAGTGGCGGCAGTGGCTGGGCAGAGCAAAGCTCGCTGCCTGATGTTTCTGCTGCAAGCATCGGGTGCTTCTTGTTCAGCAGCGGGAGCCCGTGACCTGCCCTGTGCAGGCCGAAAGCGCCACATGCAGAGGAGGAGGCCCACGGGCTTGTATCTCATCTGGGACACACAACACTGATTCTTGCATTTGGGGGCCAAGCTGCAAGCCAGCAAAACTCTGTGTCCTTGGCTGTTTCTGCCCCTCACGTTACCCTTTCCCAGAAAGTTACACTGGGCTCCTCATGCTTGTAAAGAGCAATTCGTTTACAGGAGATGCTGTGGCTAAGAATCCTTTTACTGGGCCACCGTGGGCTGCTGAATGACTCGGTGCATGGCATAACCAAAGCTGGAAGTTCCTTTTCAAAGGAGCAATTAAGGATACACTTATCTTTGATGGGGGATCAAAAAGTCTGCTCTATAAAGTCCTGCGTATTCATATCTGAGCTCTCATAAATCTGTCTTTGAAATAAGAGCAGGAAATGTCTAGGCATCCACCCATCCTGTTATCTCCGTATTTCTCTAACTGGGGCTGATTCCTCAAAGGTCATTTGTGGCATCTTACTGTTAATCGGTCTTTGGTTCCTTCGATTGCATCCTCAGTCCTTCTTGTCTGCACAGAACTGGGATAGCCTCTCCTCCAAGCACTTCCCCTTCAAACTATTTTCCTTGGCAGGCACGATCAGATGAACAAAACCCCTTTTCCTGCATTGTATGTAAAGGGGGCCAGAAAAGCAAAACCGATGGACTGGGAAAAGTGATGCTCACGTCCGTGCTTTTTTTAAGGCCTTGTATGATGTCCCAATGAGCATCTCTATTTGAATTGCTATTAAATACCAGGGCCGGGTTTTTCAGTGAAATATGGAGACTGATGCTTACAACACAGCAAGACCTGCGAGGTTTGCATTGCTAGAAGCAAAATGCACAGCGAGACTTGGAAAGCTCCCCGCCCTGCAAGATCTTGTCCGATTCCTTTGCCAGGATGAAACCGGCTGCATCGTTTCTTGTCAGTGCTAAATCCCATTTCCTGTCCATCACTGAGTAAAACTGTCTTCAAAGTCAGCTTCCCTGCATTTTGACATTTCCCTTGCACAGCGGCAAGCAGAGATGTCCAAAAACACAAGGCCGGACCTATTGCTGTGATATTCACATTTCAAAATAAACACACGAATGGCTTGGACACTCTGGACTTCTATATCTCTTGCAGCCTTTCTAGGTCCCCAAGGGGTTCTTTCCCTGGCCTACCAGCAGATGGGATGCCACATTTTCAAGGCTACGAGAGCTGAACGGGAGCCCACCTTGACTTGCAAAAGATGCGCCAATGGGCTTTCCACCACAGCAGACCAGTGGCCCAGAAAGGTTGCCGGCGGCTTCAAATGTGCAAGTGGAAGGATGCTCCCAACCTTGCGGATGGGGAGGGGAGGTGTTCCAGTTACACGAACCCTCCCCGTTTCTGTATTTGGGGTTCCATGTATTCTGGAGCCGTAGGTGGCCACCTTTTCTCTAACCTATCGCTCCAGATGTGTCTTGACAATGTGGATTACAACATGTTGCGGGCATGACAGATCCCGTGTCTCCCAACCCTAGAGGAGCACGGCATCACGATCCTTCCTGACACACACAGCAGAATTACTGCCTGGCTGCTTTCGGAGACCTCCGTTCCCCTCCCCCACAGGCACTCACACCTTGGTCCTCAGGCATGTGGACTAGTGTGGAAGTGGTAAAAAGAGCTTCCACTGGGGCTGTGCAAGGACAACTTCCCCAGGGACCATGCTCCACTGCACCTGGATCCAGGGCTTATGGGACCTTTGTATCCAGGATCACTCCTTTCCCGTGTTTCTTATCTGGATCGCCCAGCTCTCAAGTCAGCCGCCTGTCCCAGTCAAGGCTTAAATAGGAGGCACTGTCTTTAAAAATATGTATATACACACACGCGCACACACATACATGTACAATTTTGCTTACAAAGCCAATGGGATTTAAAAAAAAAAAAAGAAGTTGGCCATGGCAGATGCCGGTGGCGGCGTCTTCTCAGGATTGCACCGTTTCCTCTTCGTGTTGGCACTTGTGGCTGCAGTTCTGTGTTTTTGCTTCGCACGAGGTTCATTCTCTCTCGATTTCCTTTTAATTATAAGTGGGTGTCCTCCTCCTCGTCCAGATCCTCTTTTGTTAGGCTGTCCATGGGGACGATCCAGCTGTCTCCGAGCTCCCCGTTCAGGTTGACCTTCTTCTCCTGCATCTCGGAGGAGGTCTCCATCACCTCCAGGGTCGGGTTGTCGTGATACCCGTTCTCCATGGTTTGAAGTTCTTCAGTCAGGCGCTGCTGCAGGGTGGAAACGGACACACATGGCAGGGTCTTGACAGGGAGCTGAAAGGCCTGATGTTCTGCTCCCACGCTTGGCCCAGGGAAAGCCCTGAGTTCGACTTGCAGTGTCTGCAAGGTCCTGCGTTCAGCTTCCTGCTGCCTCGGCATCTCCTGGTGGGCTGGGAAGGGCTCTTGCCCGAAGCCCCATGCAGCAGCTGGCCCCTGAACCCCTCTGGAGGTTGCTGACATCTGTCTGCCGGTACCCTTGACCACGGACCTTGCTGGGTAAGACTGGGGGGGAGCTGCAGCCCAGCCACCGAAGGACGGCCAAGCCCCTCCAAGCCTGGGGTGGTCAGTCATGAAGGAGATGGGCCCACGGTCCAACCTGCTGGGAGGCTCCAGGCGCCTCTGACTTGAGCAAGCCAGTGATGGACAGAGGTGGCGGCCTCCACATGAGACGTTATATGGGTTCCTCCTTCAAGTCTGACCAAACTGTCGCTTCCCTATTGGCAGGGCACCTTCCCCCAAGGAGGTTCCTATGCCAGAGACTCTTGCTAACCCTCAGCCAGGGCTGTGACGCTGGAGCGCTTCCCTCCGAACTGGGCAAAGCTCCTGCAGCCCTGGCTGGGAAGAACCGGAGGGGCCGCCCGCTCTCCCCGGCCTTGCCCTTCGCTTCGTGATGCCAACCCGCCGGGCAGAGGTGCGGGTGGCGGGGGCAGAGCCCAAGCCCTCAAGCAAGCTGGCCTCCACCTTCACCTGGAGGGGGCGCCACAAGGGGGGGTGCGTACGGACGGGGAACACGCCACTGGACCTCCTGGATCGGAGCGAGCAACGGCCTGCGCAGGGCACGCACCCGAGGCCCTACCTGGTCCTTCCGGTGGGAGATGCGCTGGTGGCAGCAGCCGTAGATGGCGGCCACAAGCAGCAGCAGGGCCGCCATGCACACGATGGTGATGATCAAGGGCATGCCGAAGCGGTCCTCCGCGTCCAGGGACCTCCCGCTGTGCGTCATGTTGCTCACGCCAAGCTGTTGGGGAGGGTGGCAGAGAACGGCCGGGGCCCTTGCTTAGTGCCGCACGGGGCCTGCCCCGCTGTGGGTCAGGCAGGCATTCCTCGGCGCCTGCCTCTACCGTGCGCACCCCGCACTTCAGGAAAAGGCGCATGATGGCCCCCGTTCCGCCTAAAAGTCAGGGTGCGGGACTTCCTGGGAACTATGGCACAGGATGTCTACGGCATTTCGGCATGTCCGAGGTTCCAAAATGCACAAAAGGCAGAAAATCACCAAACAACTTGTGGTCAAAGGAATGGGGACTGTGGTCAGAGGCAGGGCCTGAGAAGGGGGGCGGGGAAATCTGGGGAACCTTGGGAGAGCACATGGCCCCGTGGGCCTGCTGGCGCACGCTCCCACACCCCCTACTGCGTATGCCCCCAAGGCTGCGGGGCAGCTGGGAACTCACCCGAGGAAGGACTGAGCGGAGCCACAGCCTTTCCCAGCCGTGGCGGCTGATGGGGTTGGGCCTCCGTTATTCTCGGCCTGCCTGACCAAAAGGCCAGGGATGGACATCCCTCCCCCACGACATCGTCTGACCGCCGGCCTGGCTGGGCGAGGTGCAATGTGCCCCCGTGGGCCCCTCCTGGCAGGGCGACATTCCCAGAATGCCACACAGAGCTTGGGTGAAGCCTAAGGCGTGCAGCTCCCATAAGCATTTCCCCCTACCTTCTCCATCTCTCCTTTCTTGGTTGCCAGAGCTTCTGAAAGCACTTCGTTCACGGAATGTGCTGATGGAGATAAAAAGGGGGTGGGGTGGGAAGGGAAGAACAGTGCCGTCATTTCGAGGTGGCCCCGGAAAGGCGCATCTTGTACTTTGCAAAAGCCTTTGAGGCGATGCAGGAAACAGTGCGCAACAGCCTGGCCTCTTTCTTTGTTAATTGGCGCCAGGTTTTGCCACATCCGCAGGGCTGCAGGCCACTGAATCTCCCACGATCGGTCTCACTGCTCCCTGTAGTCGCAGGCCAAGGCCTGAGCACATCTCTACTACACAGTGTCTTTCGATCTACTAGCCAGAGCATCTGGAAGAGAAGGCTGAAGCTGCTTCGCCAGACCTTGTCCCCGGCCTCTCCAGGCTCTGGGCTTCCTTGCCCACCAAACACCTGCCCTCTACCCATTGCTCACCTGACCTTGGAGAGGCAGTTGACCTGGCTCTTCCCGTGCCACCTGGGATGGTAGTGGCAATGGAGCACCGCTTCCCATCTCTGATGCTGAGGCGCTACCCGCAGCCTCAGAGCTGGCAACCTGAAACATCCTTTGGCCTCCCAGACGCTGCGTGGGGGCCACAGGACAGCCCTTTGTGTTGCTTTGATAGGACACCTCCCGAATTTTGATGCAGCTCTTGTAGTTCTCAATGATAGCTTTTTAGCCAGTCAAGTAGAATATCAATTTTAAAAATAAGAGCTAAGGGTAACAGCCAATGATGACCGGTGCCTTGCGATGCTTTGCATGCTGGAGGGGCCCAGGGCAAGGGGAATTTATTTATTCGCTCATTTAAAACATTTACGCTTCTATGCTTAGCATTCTGGTCCCCAGCAAGCACTCGACTGAAACCTTTGATAGCCTGGTCAGGTCTGGGAAAACCACTAGGCTGGCTAGGAGTGCTGTGTCACTCGGGAGCCTGGGAGGGCAGAACAGCCTGAAGGTCTCCCCGCAAGGGGGCAGCACAGGGCAAATCCACATGTGCTGGGTTCTGGACCCGACAGCACACGGCACGGCACCTACTGGTCACGGACGTTTTGATTATGGCCAGTTCCTTGGGGTTCTCTGCAGTGGAGGCCATCTGCACGGTGCAGTCATCCTGGTTCTGGTTGAAGCTGGGCTTCACGGCTCTGCACAGCAGGTCGAGGAGCAACTCCTTCAGTGGGGTGTCCTCCAAGTCGTCCTGCGGGAAGAGCACGCATGGTCACGGGGGCTTTGTGGACGGCAATCTGCCTGCAGTTGCCACGACCTGGAGGACGACCCCAGAACCCTTCCCCAGCACCCCCATGGGGTCCCCACCTGGTCCTGGTTTGTACTCCCATTCAGTTGTTGGCCTCTGGGTTCTAGCAAAAACTGGAGGTTTCACAGCCTTGGTGTCTGATCACGCCTGCCCTTGAACATCCCTGCATGGCCGTAAAATATATGCCATGACCCTTGCTGTTTTATAACACATCCCAGAATCCTTTGTGCCTGTGCAGCGGCATCTACCTGAAACAGGCTCCTCTGGCTCGGTCCTCACCCGCTGTTTGGGAACATGATTCCTAGCATTCCCGACTCTTGTGCCCATTCTGGAAGGCATGTTGGGAGCTGAGGTCCAAGAGGGCCGCAGGTTGAAAAAGACTGGTGTGAAATGAGGTCTCCAGAAGACAGAGAGTTTGAAAACCTCTGTGAAGCTTCGAGGAAGCCCTTCTGCAGACCAAATTATTTCCCGTCTCCTACAGGCTTGCTTGGTCTCGGAGACGGGGATGAGTTCAAAAGCAATCTCTCTCCAACATCACACACAAGATCAGGCTCGGCCGGTGCCCGGCCTTTCTTTATCTGAAGGCTGCAGCTTGGAGAGTTACCGGAATAGCAACTCCCAAAGGGCCCTGGCATGGAACTCGGGAAGGCAGCTTCCCGCCCGGCCCCAAAATGAACCCAAGGGAGGGCGTGAGATCTTGTTCTTTCCCTTGATGCACATGGACAGCAGAGACTGTCAGCAAAGAGACAATAAGGATGCTGGAGAAATCGGAATGGAGTCAAATGAGTTTGGACGCCTATGAATAAATCTGCAGATTCTGCAGCGCAATGGCCTTTTCTGAGTTGGAAGAATTCTGAGACTTGCAAACCAAGTGATGAGAGGTGAGTACAAAGGTAACGCTCTAGATCAACCGACAAGCGGGTGTTGTGATGCACACAACACAGTCCTCCAAAACAAAACTGACCACCAATAGTACATCCGGTTTATAAATATTCTAGATTTTAAAACAAAATTAAAAGCAAAGCAGATTTACATATTTCCAAGTTCTTTTAAAATTATAGATATAAAATTATATATCGGTGGTTTAAAAATATGAACTATATTGATATGAAACACCAGTTTCAGGCATGCATCTGTTTGAATGCAGCCTTGTGCTAATGAACATTGGCAGAAGTAGAATGCCATTCCCATAAATCTTTAAAAATCTGGTTTCAGGAAGGCACCCAAAAATCTGCAAAATGCAGAGTGGAGATATTTCACCAAATCCACCCATGCCTTGGCCAGTTTTGAGATATTCTTGGATGATCACAGGTATGCTTTTCTCATTGACAGAATGACAAGAATAATGGCATTTCTATAATTCAGCGTGCTTGGTGTATTATTCATTTCATTTCTGTTATCGCCACACAGCCAAAGCACTCTGGGTGGTTTACAACAATCCATAAGGCAGATAATAAAATGCAATACAACATATAAAACCAGAAAAAAGCATTAAAAGTTTTAAAACAGCAAAAACGATAGCAAAAAACGATTCTACCCAACATGTGGGATAGGCAATGCCCTCAAGCCACGGGCAGTCCAGAGAAGTCCTTGGCACAGAGAGCCATCTTAAAGTGGTACAAAAAGGACGGCAAATTCAGCACCAGTCAGGCCACAGTAGGGAGGTTGTTCCACAGACGGGGCCACGGCAAAGAAGGCCCCGCTGTGCTTCCTTGGAGGAAGGCCCTGGAGGCTGAGCACAGTGTCTGAGCAGATCACGGCTGGGGGGAGCCTGCCCACAGGCGCTCTGCCCCTCAGCTCCGTGGGGCTTTACAGGCTGAAGCACCTCGGACTGAGGCTGGAGGGATGCAGGCAGCCAGGCGACTGGGCCTTCAGCTTGGCGGAGCTTGCAAGAGGTCCCCCAATGTGTTGACTTCCAGAAGGTCGAGCCTATAGCTCCATCATCCATTTGCATGCGGGTGACAACAGGACAGGCATGGAAGCCCCGGGCATTCCTACTGCAGAAATGGGGAAGGCTCAAGCCAGATGAACTTTACCTGTCTGGACCTGATGGGGCTCCCTTTTCGTGGGTACATTCAGCCGTACTGTTGTTGATGCTGGAGGCAGCAGAAAACCATGAGGACTAGTAGCCCTGATAGCCTTCCCCATGAATTTGTCCAGACACCTTTGAAAGTCAACTGAGTTAGGGGCTGCCCTTTGGGGTAGCGAATTCCAGAGTTTAACCCTGCTCTGTAGGAAGTAGCCCTTCCTTTGATCTGCCCGAAGTCTCCCACCGCTCCGCTTCATGGGAGGAACCCTTTGGGTTCTAGGATCGTAAGAAAGGGGCGAAAATGTCTCCTTCTCCATTGTCTCCGTATCCCTTCCCACGCTCTCCATACACCCTTCTCACGTCAGGCGCCTCTTTTCTAAGCGAAGCCATCTCAACTCCTGCGCCACGAAAGCGCCAGATGTTTTTCTGACGGGGCAGGACTATTTCGTCCCACTGAATTCAGCGGATCTGCTCCGTCTGGAACTGGCTCCGACCCACCACTGTTTCTTGCACTTCTTCCTCTGGATTTTGGCAATCCGCCCCGGACTCATTCTGCAAACCCTGTCAAGGACCGAACGGGCCTCTCCGGGAACGTGACCACCTCCGTCCTGCGGGCGAAGATGCTGGCCAGCTAGGCAGGGCCTTCCTCCCGCCACGCCTTGGGGGGACAGACCCTGCGGCCAGGGGGCGTGCCTTCGCTCAGCAGGGGGGGCTCAGCGCGACAGACGGCCTGGACAGCTGTGCGCATCTGCCTGCGGCCTGCGTTGCGCTGCACTGAGCTGCGATGCTCACTTGGTTTAAACCTCCAGAGGCCGAAGTGAAGCAGCTCTTCGTGTTTTGCTTTTAGGCAAAGATGCGTCTGAATCGGAGCTGCTCCGCACCGGCTTCTGGCCTCTCCCAGCTGTGCACATCTGGCGTTACGACGGCCCCGCTGCTCCCCAGTGGGAATGGGGCCACCCACAGGCTGGCCGGCTGCAGGCAGGCTTTTCACCCCACTGCTCCTTGCAGCCGCGGGGGGACCCCGGTCGCCGCCCCTCCCGGCCTTGTCTAAATATTGGCAAAAAAGCACTCCGTGGAGGTGCGGAGGGTGGGGACAGGATGCCGGAGCCAGCCCAGCAGGAAGGAACGGTCGCGGGGGGGATGGGGGGCCCTGGAGACACGGTGCAGACAGATTGTTGCAGGGATCGAAAGAGAGCTCTGCGGAAGAAGGGGCTGCTTTGGAGCGCCGCGTCCTCCCTCTGCAGCCCGCCCCCCATCACAGCCTTTTCCTTTCTGCGGATAAAACCAATTTGCCCCGGCAGATTTTGCTTTCCTGATGAAGTGTGTGTGGGAGCAACAGAGCTTGCTTGCAGGAGAAGTTGGGTTGGTTGCGGAGTGACAAGAACGCCACACGGGGACCGTCTTGTCAGAAATAGCACTCTGTGCATGCTCAGTGGTGCTCTTAGTGAAAAGCTTCCCCCTAGATGGTGGGCAGTTGTACACCTTCTAAATGCCAGCCGGAGGAAAGCAGCCCTGAGCAGCAGACAAAGACAACAACCCTGAGTAGAAGGAAAGAGCGCCCCGGGAGCTCCATGGCTGGGAAGGGATTTGGACCCAGGGTTCAACGAAGTCCAGTAGGCTCTTGGGGCCTCCCTATGGCCCCAATCCAGAGAAGGTGAGCCATGTTAAGTCCCAAAGGGTGCAGCCCCTGAAGCCGGAGGTTTAGGGCCACCCTATACAGAAGAGGGACAATCTTTACTCATCTTTTCCAATCATTGGGTGTTTCTGCACATCTGGAGCTCCGAACTGTCCCTTGGCCCATCAGATACGGTCTGGGGGCCAAAGGATTGCTCCCTAGCAGTGCCTTAATAAAAATGGTGGTGGTGGTGGTGGTGGTGATTATGCTAATTAATTACAACTCCAAGCCAACAATGGACCAAAAGAAGGCTTACAAAAATAAGAAGCGAGGCTGTTAATCCGTTCCTTCTCCCTGCTGAGCTAGCTTTCTACAATGCAAGCAGCTGAGGAGCATTCAGAATTAAGACCCCCCCCCGCCTCCCCGCAGCAGTGCAACTTCTTCTGTTCCCACGTTTTGCTGCATGTAGCCCCCAGTGTGGTGTGGTGGTTAGGAGCGTGGGACTGGGACTCAGGAGATCCGGGTTCGAGTCCCCGCTCAGCCATGGAGCCCACTGGGTGGCTTTGGGCCAGTCACAGACTCTCAGCCCAACCTACCTCACAGGGTTGTTGTTGTTGTGGGGATAAGATGGAGGAGGAGAATGATGTCAGCTGCCTTGAGCCCTTTGTAGGAAAAAGGCAGGATATAAATCGAAAAATAAATGAACGAACGAACGAACAGGGCAGCCTTCTCTCTGGATCGAGGCCATGGGGGTTACACTTACTGCTTGTTCAAAGCCCCCTTTCTTGTTTAGTAATGGAAGGGGGAACAGCGACACACTGTTGCAGCGTGGGGTGCGCCTGTCCTGTCTGGGATCCCGGGATCTCTCCCGCATCCCTCTGTCCCTGGAATACTGCAATCAAGGGAATGATCCTCGAGGAAAGATGCGAGAGATGGCCGTGCCTCTCTGAACTGGAGCCCAGCTCGCTGTGAGGCAGAAAGCCCACCTGTGCCATCGGCCTTTAGGTCCCCGAGTGGACTTTCGTCCACTTCTGTCCCGCACGTCCACTCTTGGGCACCCTTCCTTCCCTTCAGCCTCATCGCTGGGCCTTCTGGGGAAGGACTGTTTTGTGATGGGCCACACGCACAGGGGCCCGCCCCCTGTGGCAGCCATGCTGCGAGCGCGCCCACGGCACCCCGCAGGTTCCAGATCGGCCTGTCTCGGAGATGCCTGCAAGGCATCCCACCTGCCCGCAGAGCTCCCCCTGTGTGCGCCCACCGACGTGGCCAGCCGCTCCGCCTTGCATTGCCTCACACGCGACACAACACACCATCCTGTCTCTTCGCGCCTGAAAAAGCATCCCACGGCAGGTAAGGACCAGCCACTCCGTTATGCTTCTCCCTCACTCTGGAGTGGACCGGGAGGGACGTGAGACTCCTCCCCACTTCCCTGGGCCCTCTTGGAGGGGTGCAGGCGGACAAGAGCCTGGGGGCAACCCAACAAGCTCAGGCACCAGAGGCCTGCGGGAGGCGGAGAGCCGTGTGTCCCACAGCATGCTGGGAGCCCCGGCGCACCTGCTGTGCCCAGGTGCAGTGGGCAACCCCTTCGCCTTGCCAGGGTTGAAGTCATTTTCCGCTGCCAGTCTGGCCGGCTTTTGCCTTGGACAGCCAAATACCTCGTGCTGGCTGTGGTGTGAGATGATGGCTCCACGGACAGGTATCCATGGGGCAAATGTAACCAGCTTCTGAAAGGTGCTGGACACCATCTTCCACCTGCCCAAAGAGTTCTGCTTTTCATAGAATCAGAAAGGCAGAGTTGGAAGGGGCCATGAAGGCCATCCTGTCCAACCCCCTGCTGTTGCAGGACACCACGTTACACCATCCCACTCAGAGGGCTGTCCAGTTTCTCCTTGAATGCCTCCAGTGTGGGAGAGCCCCCCACCTCTCCAGGCAGCTGGTCCCACTGCCGTATCGCTCTGACTGTGAGGAAGCTCTTCCTGATGTCCAGCCTGAATCTGGGTTGTCACAACTTGTCTTGATTATGCTGTGTCCTGCACTTTGGCATCAGCAAGGAGAGAGCTTGACCTTCCTCTTCATGACAGCCTTGGACGAACTTATGGAGGGATACCATCCCCCCCTCAGCCTTCTCCTCTCGAGGCTGCACATGCCCAGTTCTCTCGTGTGTATCAGTTCGGGATTTCCCCTGCACATTTAATCTTCGCCGGCACACTGAGCTGGCAAGCAAACTGCTCCCTGGCAGTGCCATTCACACAGGTCTGCAGCAAGGAAGGGGATTCCGAAGGTGCGGCTTTCAGGGTTGCGCACTGTTACATCTGCTGTGCCTGAATGCAAAAATCGAGGGCAACGCCGCTGGGAATCGGTGCGCCTTTGGCACATTTCTCCTTGGTGAAAGTCATCTTGATAATCTTAACAGCTCTGGAGGGAAGTTTTGGGCCAGAACGGGAATTGCTTATGCATGCAATAGAATGCTGATGAAAAATGTTACAGACACTGTGGTCCCACATCCCGCGGCGGAGGCTCTGCTCCTGACCTGGCTGGACGAGGCCCATTTTTCCTCAGTGACGGGCCGTTTCCATCTGCCCCAATGGTCCCCATCCCCTCCTGCCCTGCCGGACAGAGCAAAACCTCACTGCACCCCTGCAGTTCTCCGAAGCATTTCACATTCTTTGGCGCGACTTAACAGGCTCCGAAAATCTGAGCTAATCTGATTCCCACACTGGTGGGAACCTAAAACAAACTTTCCTCCCCAGGATGAGGTAATGCGGCTTGAATCGAGCACCACACAGATGCATTGTGTGTGTTCAGGGCGGAGGGGATGGGAGAAGGTGGGGCAGAGAAACGAAAAAAAACAACCGCTCCTCGCCCCGGTGGGCCATCACAGGCTGGAGCCGTGGATACTGCGCCCCCGGGGTTCTGGTGCAGGTGGGAGGAAAAGCACTCGGAATTACCCCCCTGCCCCCAAATTAGCGTTTGCAAGCCTGTGGGGTGGCAAGGAAGGTTACTTCCACAATGCCTGTGGGGCGATGCAGGGCCCGGGGGTATTTGCCGGGGGGAGTCGGCTGGTGGAAAGCAGGCGCTTAACCAGGTTTGGCCCAGGACCTTTTGCTGCCTGAGGCGCCAAAGACGACAGCATCCCCTCCGCTCAAAGGCTGACCGAGCTGGCAGAGGCCTCCCTCTGCGACGCTCATGACGGGACAGCCTTTTCCGCCACACCTGAAGGCAGCAGGCCAGATTTCCTGCCTCTCCCCCCACCCCACACACATCACGTGACCGTTCCTCTCCCACAGCCCCTCTCCCCCACTCCTCATCTGGGCCCAGAAGGGGCTCGCCGACCTCGGAACCATCCACTGGGTCAGCTCTGCACCGACCTGCCTGGCCGCCCCCTGCACGCGGGGAGTTTGCAGGATTGCAGCTTGCCACGCCTTGCGCACCCAGGAAGGGGGGCTTGTTGTTCTGGTGAACAAGCCACGCAGAGCCCGTGGTGGGGCTGGCAGTCCTTTAGAGTCAGCTGTTGCGACGAGGGGCCCTGGCCTCCGGCTGAAATGCCGAAGGGTTGCTCGTAACGCTGCGAGTGGAACTGCCGTGAATGTGCAAAGCCGTTCTTGGAAACATTTCCCTGGACTCAGAAGTTTGGATCTGAGGGGTTTAATCTGGGAGAAGGGGGGAGGCAACCAACTGCAAGGGAGAACTGGAACAAAGGCGTTGCCGAAGGGTGCAAGCGACGTGGTCCAGCTACCCTCTGCAGAGCAGCGCTGAGGCAAAAAGCGCATGAAGACCAGATGATGGCAGCAGCGAGCGAGGAAGAGAAGCCGCCCGACTGGAGAGCTGCGACAACGCAGGCGGCCGCCGCCAGATCGGCTCATCCATGAAGCTGCGCCCCAGCGATGTTCAGAGCGGGATGAGCAGCTTCCAGGGATTGGGGGCTGCATGGTGCCCCTCCCCTGAATCCACAGCGGCCCCCTGACGCCGCTGCATTGGTTGCCGCCACCGAACGTCTCAGCAGGGGACAAAATTCAGGGGGATTTTGCAGGGGAACCCGGGGGGTGGGGGGCAGAAAGAGAGCACCGTGTTTCCAAGCAGAAGGGCACTACCGAGAGACCCCTGCGAGTGTGATTCTTGCGTGCTCCTGGTGAGCTGTGTTACCTTGCAGAGTGACGAGCTGTTGGGCTGCTGCAGTGGGTGGCACGAGCCGCCCGTGGGGTCCATGCACGAGCCCAAGTCCCCTGCGCTGGCCTCCACATCAGGGAGAAACAGACGGGTGTGCCCCCCCACCCTGCTTCTAGCGGACGAGCGTATCTTGCTCAAGCGAGACTCGCTGGAGGGGGATGCCTGGCTTGAGCCTTCAGTATTGCCTTCACCCAGAGGAAGAAGAGCCTCGCCCAGTCTGGACGCTGCTGCCCAGCCTTTCCTGCCCTGCCGGGGCTGGCGCCCAAGGCGCCTTCTTCCCCAGGGCTCTTGTCACGGCAGAGGGGAAGACCCGCTATGGCAAACACAGCTGCCGAGCGACTTCAGTGGAGGAACTGGTGTGGGGCCAGAGGGTTCGGCCGCTCTCCACATGCGCTGTGACTCCGGCTGACCTGGCCTCCCCAGGCTGCTTTTCAAAGAAGGAAAAGGAGATGCAGTCGCGCCGCTCCAACGAATATGCCAGGGGGAGCCGTCGACCAGAATGCCTCAAATACCCACCGTGCTCCTGCCATAAACTCACCAGGCAAGTTAGCTTCCTCACGCCTCCCCTGTGATACGGGAATAAGACACCTGCTCTCCAACTGTACAATTGTGCACAAGATGGTTGCGATCATTGCTGAGGCAAGGTCTTCGGGCGCTCAGAGGGAAGCGCCCAGGAAGGGCCGGAATTAGTTCCGCAAAAACTCACGGGCTTCCCCTCAGCTTGGTTTGCTTTCTAAAATAGGGATGAGCCCAGGATGAGGCCCGTGAACTGAAGACAGACAGGTTCTGGGGAGCTTTGCCACAACTCTAAGCAATGTGGGGAGAGACGTTTCCTCCCTCGGATGCTTTTGTGCAAAGGGGAAAGATTCCAGAAGTGCTTTTTATAAGGAGACGGTGCCATCGAGGAATCCATATTAAGAGACGGCCAAGACTTTACCCCTTTGGGATATACTTACGCACGAAGTGGACACGTTCAAAGTCAGAACAATCACTTTGTCTCTGGATGGCATCGGCTTCACACAAACGATCTGGGGAAGAAAAGGAGATGCACAGAGTGAATTTCATTCACGTGAGAAAACCATGTGCTCCCCAGCTCATGAAACCAAATCTAGATTAGGGCTCGGAACGCCAGGCCCACAGGATCGGGACCACAAGTCTGGCCCATCTTGGACTCTGCCCGTTCCCCCCAGCCTAAATGGCTGAAATAAGGCTTGCCCAGGGCTCAGTGAGTGGCAACCAGGGCTCTGAAGGGTGCAGCTCTATCCAAACGCGGGCGGGATGGCACCTCGAAGATTCAACTGGCTGCTGGGCTGGGCGTGGGGGTCTCCCGCTTTTGCTGAAAAGGGCCGCCGAGCCTTTTCTTGGCACGTGAATCTAGTCTAGCAGTAGCCGCATTCTGTCCTTCGGCCTCACTCTTGGCTGGTTCACCCACTGACAGAGATTGCAACCTCCCTGGGGCAGGGAATGAGCAAACAGAACAACCAACTCAGCAACCAGTTGCGCCATTCATGGGTGGTGTGGTGCCAAAGCAGTAACGGAAGAACTCAAGTTGCAACATCCAGGACCTACTAAAAGTTGACCTTGCTGTTCATGCGCAAGCGCAACATTTTGGGATTTGACGTGCCCCTGGGTTGTGTGTGCACAGGTGGATTAAGACTGACTTTTGCAGTCACAAAACTGGGTAAAACCAACTGGCCCTCCAAGCAGATAAAATTTGTGTGTTCATTTAAATTCTCTCTGGATGGACATTATGGCTCACATTATGTTTGTTTTAGGAAAATGCTCTGGCATTTGCAGATGTTCATGTATTTTTTAAACAATATTCTGGTGACACAGGGACAAATGATAAAGGAGACTTGATCTGAAGTCAAAAAGACTTCAGAGACAATTGTATGTGCATTTAGTATTATTCCATTGCATTAACAGCCTGTTTTTTTCCCTCTTGAGAGGAACCCATATTTATTATTAATTTCACTTTTAGACTGCCCCATAGCCCAAAGGCTCTCTGGGTGGTATAAATCTTTGCCTCCTGCTCTCCATCTTATCCCCACAACAACAACCCTGTGAGGTAGGTTGGGCTGAGTCTGTGACTGACCCAGAGTCACCCAGGGGGCTCCATGACTGAGCGGACACTAGAACCCGGATCGCCTGAGTCCCAGTCCCGCGCTCTTAACCACTATACCACAATGTGGTATCCAGCCATTATATTTTTTTTGTACCAGAGAAGGCTCAAAATCATCCAGCTTGGACCTTGGCCAGGATGAGCAGAGTTCCCAGCTAGCAAGTGTTTTGCTTGGCTTAGTCTCAACCGCATCCAATTGGCTGGATGCAAACGGCCAGTGTTATCTCTTGCATATTTGTGCTGATCAGTTAAAAGCACAGAACCAGGGTCCTTAAAGTGGAAGCCGACGGCGTCAGTTGCCTCCCACATAGCCTCAACGGCCTGGTCCTCCCTCATCTTGAAAGCAAGGCAGATCCGGGCCTGGCTGGAATCTGGACGGGTGACTTGGATGCTGTGAACTGCTCAGAAAACTGTGGCTACCGGCGGCCCAGAAATTCGGCAACAACAAGGACCCCTCAGTTGTCCATCAGATTTGCTAACTTAGCCCCGAGGTGGCAGCCATGCGTCTGAACTCCATCTCCCCATTACAGACGTAATGGGTAGGTCAGATGAGCCAGATGTTCCACTAGGCTTAGACAAATCTTATGCAAAGTGGTGTCATCTTTCTTGTCCCTCTTTCCATAGAAAAATGGGCCAGCTTTTGACACAATACACAATGCATCAAAATCTATGCATGGCTCTCAACTTTGCACAAGATCACTGGGATCAGAAAGCTGAAACATAGAACACCAATTCTGGCCCACTTGTCCTGGCTGCCTAGACGCTTCCAAACACAATTCAACCCAAAGCTGGTTAAAACACAATGCTGGTTTTAACCTATATGGCTTGTGACCCCAATACCTGATGGAACGTCTCTCTTGGCCTCAGTCTACCCAGACCCTACAGTCTTCATCGGGAACCTTCCTCCGACTGCCACCTCCAAGGTGTGGCCCAGAAAGAGGCGACGAGGAGGAGGGTCTTTTCAGTAGTGGCCCTGAAAATTGTGGAACGGTCTCCCTGTTGAGGCAGCAACACTGCCATCTTTTCAGCATCAGGTTAAAACAGCCCTGTGTTCCCAGGCATTTAGTAGCATTGGATGGGTTATGTTTGCTCTTTTAATTAGGTCTAATTTTTAATGAAAGTGATTTCGATGCTAAACTGTTTTATACTTTTGCCTACTGAAATTTTTAGCTGTTTTAAATTTGCACATGGAAATTTTATGCACTGTTTTATTGCAACTGTTTTTTTATTGTGTCTTTTGTATTTGATTAATTGTTGTGAACCACGCAGAAAGTTTGGGCTACGGAATGGTGCAGAAGTGAACTAGACAAATAGAAATAAACGAATAAATACAGTCCTTTGTATCATTCGGTGCACCAAAGCCCCCACTTACCTTGCTGTGAACTGGAGCGTCAGTGGGGGTCACCCTGCTGTCCGGAGACGATTCCTGGCGCACAGGGGGGGACGATGCCACCTTCGTTGCTGCTGGAGGCCTGGGGTTCGACATTCTGGTGGTCGGAGCGGCACCGGCCGAGGGGGATGTGGTGAGTCGGGTGTCCTTTGCATCTTTCGGGGCCGTCGGTGCTACTGCAGTCGGGCCCGTGGGCTTTGACGTGGCTGGCCCGGCTGGCTGAGTGGTGAGGCGGGCCGTTTGCGCGTTTGTGGGGCTGGGGCTTTTGGGTGTGACAGCCACACTGTCATTGTTCGGGCTTGCAGTCGCGCCTCCAGGAGCTGCACTAGACACTGCGGAACCAGCTGGAGAGGAGGAGAAAAACACACCTGACAATAATGGCCGGGCGCGTGGCCTTTTCCCCTCCCCCAAATCCCACATTGTCCTCCTCCCCAAAGTTGCCACATCCAAATTCCCATGGCCTTAGATAGAAACACAGAAACTGAGTGAGTCAGAAGGGGCCTCCAGGGCCATCTAGTCTGACCCCCGGCTCCAGCCGGCTCCACTCATAACATGCCCACCATGTGCATGTCCAGCCTATCCTTGAACACCCACACCGATGGGGCCTCAGCCACCTCCCGTGGAAGCCCATTCTACACCCTCGGGGTCCCAACTGTCAGGAAATGCTTCCTGGCATCCAAATTGAACCCTGGTTCCCTGAGCTTGGCTCCGTTGGAGCGCTTCCTGCCTTCCTCTGCAGGGGAGAACAGGTCTCTCCCCACCTCCGTGTGACACCCCCTCACGTCACCAACAGATTCCCTCTTACACGCAAATACCGCTTTACATCTAACTGCATGCTTTGGTCTGGCTTTGTTTATTTTAAAGGTAAGTGTACCAGCCAGGGACACCTCCTCTACCCTATAGCGGAATCCCATGTCTGTGCAGGATGATTTATTTCCGACCTCCGCCTTTACACTTCCCCTTTCACGAGGGCTTGTGTTCTCAGCCCTTGGCGAGTCCGGCTCAGCCACATGTTGTGGCATCGCCAAGTCTGCACGGAAAGCCAGCTTTCCAGTAAGGAAAGGGTGAGGGTGTTTTTTGGCAGCAAACAAAGGCAACCCAGAGGGGGAACCTGGGCTCTCCGAGACCGTGTTGTGAAGCTGGCGGGACCAATTCCCAGCATTAAAGGGGCCTCTGAAGGCAGGCCCGGCCCGGCCCCAGGTCTCCGGGAACAGTACAGTTTTTATTGTCACCCTGAAGGCGCACCAAGCAGCACCGCTTGCAAAAGGTTGGCAGAGGGGAGCAGGGCAAAGTTTGTGGCCAAGGAGCCACGCGCTGGGGCACTGTGCCTAGGCAAGCGCAAATCCACACCCGAATGACCCCTGGCGAGAGCTGGAAATAAAGCTCATTCACAGGAGCCAGCAGAACTGCTTGGTCAATGGCAAGCAATTTGTGCTCCCATTTTACAGACAAGGACACCGAGGCCAGGAAATAAGCAGCGAGCACAAGGCTGGCCGCACAACCAGATGGTCGTTTCAATTTCAACTTTAGCCAGCAACCCAAATTAGTGAAAGAAGAGAAACCCTGGCTAAGGCATGGAAAACGGAGCTGCTCCTGCATTGACAGATGAACCATCTGGGTTCTCCCCCAGAAAGAGCTATGCTCTCGTCTCCCCAGCCTCAGAAACGCAGGTCTGAGCAGCTAAGAAAGGCAAAATTCCTCAGCCGGGCCAAACAGGAGCTCAGAGAGCCTCTGCTTGAACATCCCGGGTAGAGGTAAGAGGAGGCCAGGGTGCGCTGTGTCAAATGGCAAGCAGAGGAAACCCCCGTTTTTGAACGGAAAGCGTGTGATCAGGAAGAGAACGCGCAGGGAAGGGCATTTTACAGTGTGTAGGATTTGCTTTCGTTTTATTAACCGGGGAACCATTCCAGAAATGGTGCACCCCACCTGGACGTCGAAGCCCAGGCACCACCCTGCTTCTCCAGGACCCACCTGCCTCCTCCAGCCGGCCCTTCCTCTCACCTATGCGACTGGGGCAAAGACCTGGCCGCCAGGTGGGCTACAGCGAGCAAAGCCCAGGTGGCCAGCCCATTTCTGGAATGCGGGCTCAGCACACGCCGCCCTGCACAGACGCACCTGCGATGGGTTTTCCGGTTGTCTGCTGTGGCTTCTCCGAGGGGGGCACCGTGGTGACCTTCCCGGACAGAGAAGCGCCGGAGGAGGTGGGCTTGGAACCGGCATGCTGAGTGGTCTCTGCAGGAGCTCCCGCGGACATCTGCGAAGGAATGGTCTGAAGAACGGAGGAAGAGGGGGCACGGGACGTCTCTGATGGCGCTTGGGTGATGGACCTCACCGAGCTGGGCCCCGGAGTGGTTCTGCCTGTTTCTGCTGCGCTGCCACTTGGAGGTTTCAGGCTGCTGTTCGAGGCAGGGGAGGAAGCCTGGGTGCCGGGTGTTTTGTGTGCCAAGGTGACAGAAGCCCCAGCGGCTGTAGGCATGGGTGCTGCGGTGCTTTGCTTCGTGGAACTCGTCACCTTTGCAGAAGTGGTCGCATCAGTGGGGTCGGCTCCTAAAAAGAGCCCGAGAGTTAGGCACGTGTTGGAAATGACAGGCTGGTTCATCATGACCTCCCCTTAATTTATGTGTTTTACTCGTCCATGTATTTATTCACTTAGGTATGATATTTTTCCACCACCTGATCAGAGGGGCATCCAACAAACCCAATGCAAACATGCAAGAGGAATCAAGCCATCTGCAGCATCGAGACTGCGATTCATACCTTAACAGCAGCCCTCCTCCAGGGCATCCAAGGTGGTGTACAGGGTGGCTCTCCCCCTGCCGTTTTAGCCTCACAACAGCCCTGTGAGGAAGGCTGTTCCAATGTGTTTATTATTACTTTACGGTTCTCCCAGAGTTTTCCCTCTTTGCAGAAACCCAAAGCAGCTCAATTTGTCTTTCTGGGCCCCCTTTTATCCTCTCAACAACAACCCTTCGAGGTGGTTTAGGCCGACGGGATGTGATTGGCCCAGAGACCCCCTGGGGGCTTCATGGCCAAGTGGGGATTAGAACCCAGCTCACCCCCCCCCCCCAATCATGCCTCCTCCCTGCACCCTTAGATGACAGGTGTGACCAGGTAACCCCCAGATCTGCCAACAGTTTGAGGATCTCACAGCTTCCTCTACATTTGAAAGCACATTCTATAGTTTCCAATTTAGTTGGGCGACACAGACCACCTATATTAATGAATATTTTGAGACAAGCCACATGCTTTATTCTGTTATATTTCTGTTAAGAAGGAAAACATGGAGGTGGGAGGAAGACGTTCCTTGGCCAAACCGAAGGCTCTTTAGTTACAGCGTCCTTTTCGCCAGAGCAGCCAACCATACTGGTTACAAGGAGCATGCCCTCTCCTGCCGTGGGCCCCCTTGGGCTCACTGCCTCTGATGCTGGAGGGAGCGAAGGGCCATGAGGACTAGTGGCCGTGGATAGCTTGCTCCTCCAGGGATTTGTACAAGCCCCTCTGAAAGGCTTCCAAGCTGATGGCCAGCACTACATCTTACAGATGTGAATCCTGCAATTCAGCCCTGTGCTCTGCAAGGAAATCCTTGCCTTGGTCCTGAATCTCGTGGCATCCAGCTTCACGGAATCCCCCCAAATGCTTGTATTACGGTGAAGAGGAAAGTCTGCTTTGTCGAATCAAGCAAAGGGCTATTCCAGCCCATGACAAGCCGGTCCTTTTGTTGGCGAGGAGATACAAACAACAGCCAAGAAGAGCCCCGTGGCACCTTCAAGATGTATTCAAAAGACGCAACACTGGGAACACACGGTGACTCTCGACCTTTAGCACAGCAAAATATGCACACAGACCAGGGAGCCATGAAACGGCTGAGATCCATGGCTCCGGGGACCCCCTGAGGGCTAGACCAGCAGCCCAAGCTGATGTTCACCAGGCAGGACCTGAGCCTTCAGAGGCACCTGAGCTTTCAGAAGCACTCTGCATAACCCTGAAGGTGGCTTCTGCCATTTTGAGCACGAGTTAGGTCAAGGAAAGGTTCTCGCTCATTTATTCTACCCAGACATCCAGAATTTACCTAGGTTCAAGAAGAAGGTGGAGTAGGAGGACGAGGGAGCTGGGCATGTTGAGGCTGAGGGGGGATGTGATATCCCTCTATAAGCACCTCAAAGGCTGCCCCAGAGAGGAAGGTCAAGATCTCTTCTCAGAGTGCAGGACACGGAATAATCAGTTCAAGCTGCGACAACCCAGATTCAGGCTGGACATCAGGAAGACCTTCCTCACTGTCAGAGCAATACGGCAGTGGGACCAGCTGCCTGGAGCGGGGGGGCTCTTCCACAATGGGGGCATTCAAGGCGAAACTGGACAGCCACCTGAGTGGGATGGTGTAACGTGGCGTCCTGCAACAGCAGAGGGTGGACCCAATGGCCTTCATGGCCCCTTCCGACTCTACCTTCCCTGGTTCTGCCCTCCATGGGTGAAGAGAGACTGCGCATGCGGGAAGAGGCAATGCCCACCCTCTGCAACCAAAGTCAAGCAGACTTCCAACAGGCAAATCTGTCCCCCAGATGTCTGGAGTCTGGTTCCCATCAGGCCCAGCCCATATGGCCATTGGTCAGGAACAGGAGCACTTGCAGTGCAAAACATCTGCAGGCCACTCGGCAGGGGAAGCAGGAGCGGGACCCCTGCGTCTTCTTCAGTGAGCCAGCCCAGCAGCCAAGCCAGAGGCCCCCACAGGCCTCTTGGGAGGGAGGAGGGCCCCTCGCAGCTCTTCACGCTTGCCTGCTGGGGCGCTCTGCCCTGGACCGGCTGGTGGTCCAAGCGCCTGACCATCAGCTGCACTCTCACAGGTGAGCACTACTTTTCCCCACCTGGTGGCCTTCAGATTACCCTTCTCATCAGCCCAAATTGCCATGACTAATGGCCGGAAACACTGGGAATTAGAGTCATGCAAATCTATGGTGAGACTATGTTAGAATTCTCCGCTCCACTGCAGTCACTGCACCTAAACAAGGATATTCTTGAAGTGGGAGAGGTGCAGAAGAGGGTAACTAATGTGATCACGGGGCTGGAGCAACTTCCCCACAAGGGGAAACATAGGGGTGCGCAAAATTATGGTGTGGAGAGTGGACAGGGAGACCTTCTCTTCCCTGTCCCTTCATGCTAGGATGCGGGGACAGCCATAAAGCCGGGACAACACAAGCAGAAGCAGCAGCCCAAAGAGGAGACGGACGGCTCCCTAAAGGAAGTCCCGATCTGGAATGTACAGGAGCCGAGCAGGGATGCCATGGGCAGGGCGTCCTTCACGAAGGCGGCTATGAACGGATACTGGTCTTTAGGAGAATGTGCTGGGGAACATGGGGCAGGAGGAGGCTGTTCCACTCCGGTCCTGCTGTGGAATCCCATGAACAGCTTGTTGGCCACTGGGTGGAAAGAATGCGAGACCAGATGGACCCTGTCCCAGACGGAGAACGGGCCTTCCTATGTCCTTCTCTTTTGTCCAAAGCAGCTGGAAAGCACCCAGCCAGAAGACGGCTGTTTTCCACGGCCCCGTGTGCCTAGGCTCTCTCGCGAAATGTCAGAGAAGGACCTCTTCAAGGTGGGGAGGGGCACAAAGGTTGGCCCTCCGGAAACTGCCGATGGCAATGCCATCGTCGGTGACGGCTGGCCCTGCTGCTTGGGCATGATGGGTGATGGAATCCCACCTCTGGGTGCGATCAGGCTGGGATGACTCGGCTAGGATGTTTTCATTGGTTCCAAGCCAGCAAGATGTGGGGGTCAAGGTCAGGATTCGTAAGACGCAGCACCCTACGGGGCCAGGCCCGGATATGGGCACGCTGTCCCTGGTGGGGGCCATTCCAAGCCGTTGAGAGCAAGAACGCAACGCTAAAAATAACAGAACGGCTCCCCGACCCATCCCTTCCTCCTCCGCCTCCACCTCCGAGTCTTTTTGTGGTTCAGGCAGGATCATTTCCTATCTCGAGAGCTTCCTCCGGCCTCCGTGGTGACATGGTTTGAAAGGCTCAGAATCTATTAATAGTGGGAAAGGGAAACAGAAAAGAATGACTGAGGAAATAGTGCGGGAGGGGGGGCACACCCTGCCTGGACAGACGGGCAAGTGGCTGGCACGGAGCCGCGGCTACGCCCGGGTCGGGCTGGGAAAGTCGGCACCCGCTGTCCGTGCCTCCAAGCGCCGGGGCTGCGGGAAGAGGCACCAAACGCCTGCCTCTCCCCGCAGTCTTTTCCGATGAGGGCAGCTGCTTGGGATGCCGAAATCCCACAAGGAACCCGGGAGCCAGGGCCTCGTCCCGACTGGGGGTGATCGCCGGTGTGAGGGGAGAGCCAGGTGGGGCTGGGGAGACCCCGTCTTGAGTTCCTGCTCAGCCACGGAGCCCTGGGCCAGCTGGGGGCTCTCAGCCTGGCCTACCTCTCAGGGTTGTTTTTCTGAGGAGAAAACAGAGAGGAAGAAGCTTTTCATCCATAACTATTCTCTCTCTCTCTCTCTGACACATACAGGCACATTTTCTTCTTCTCTGCTCTCCATTGACTGCTGACTGATAAAACTCTATCTGGGAACAGAAGTTTGAAAAAGCTGGTCTTTCCCCTAAGTCAGAGGTTAAGGTAATAACATCCTAAAGCCCATGACACCCCCCACACCTACTGCCTCCTCCAGCCTGGGTAGGGCTGGGTGGGGGATGCTGCCCAGGGGTCCCCTGAACGAGAGCGTTTGAGGATCGCCAGAATGGAGGCCGTGGCCGCTGCTTCAAGAGCATCCCGGGAGTGGGACCGAGGGCTGCAGAACCTCGGTAGCCCTGGCAAGAGAAAGCCCGCTGGCCAGGCCGGGAGGGTGGCCCACGGGGGCTCCTGTCCGCTCTGGTCTCGCTCATCCTCATTAGAAACTGCCGCACGACTCTAAATTACAAGATGGCAGAACGAGGCGGTCCTGGGGGAGGACAACTCAGTCTTCCCCAACCTTTTCCCCTGTAGCTCCAGATGTGCCCACCCATGGGAGACCCAGGCCAGAGATAATGGGAGCTGTAGTCCAACCCAAGCCAGGGATGGTGGGAGTTGTAGTCCAACCCATCTGGGCTTGCTCCAGGTTGGAAAAAGCTGGCCCACCTCTTCTCTTCTCCCACTTCAATCTCCTGTTTAGTGATCCATCCAGAAGAAGCTTCATGGGAAGGCAGCTGGGTGCAGTGGCGAGCAGGTGAAAGACAGAAAGAAAGAGTTAAGAAGTCACCGAAGAGGTCTGGCACTTCGGGAACTGCAAGTGACTGAACAGCAACGAGACCTGGGCATCGGATCTTTTGCGACAGGCCTCTGAGAGAGGTGTTTGGCAGCTCTAAGCTTCTGTTGTTTTTCCGCTGGTTCTTTCTGGCCCTGAGGGCCAGAAAATGGCCCAGTTCTCAGCCCTCTTATGCATCACATTGTGCAAACCCGACAAGGGTGGTTTGTAAGACGGCAAAGCCACCTTGGTCCCTGCACAACCCTAAGGCAGCCTAGGGGTTGTGCAAGGGTCGTCTAAGCAAGCCATGCTGGACTGCGGTGTTTCTGCC